TTCAGCATGGGTGAAGGGGAGCAGGGAGAAACAAAACTCCTTGTACACTGGAAGCGCATTCAGTTTTGACATGCATTGCATGGCCTGGAAGATAGGACCTGTTCCTGCCAGGGAGGAATCATGAATGCGCAGAATCCCAGCTGTATGCATCCTGTGAAAAGACACATTTTGCCTCTGCTGAGTAGAAGATACAGCTTTAGAAGATTCCCCTAACATTGCAGAGTTGTAAAAAGAAAAAAAAAAAATCAGGAGCAAAATCAAGCAGAAAAGGTCCTCCACAGAAACACTACATGGAGTCTTTTGCCTAGGCAAATTTACGATAATTTTCATGTGTTTCAGGAAGTGGGGACATCTATCATTCTCCAAGTATAATTTGTATGTAATTTTATATGACAAAGCCATAAAAGGCTAATTTGACAATATTTAAACCAAATTTCACAACAGTGATTGAAAAGTTCTTGCCAGTGTAATGGGCTTGGATCAGATTCACCACATTTTTTTTTCTTCCTAATGAATAAAGAGAAAAGAAATGGTGGGTAAATAAGCAGATAGAAATGATGATGCACTCTAAAACTTTGATAGGAAGGAGCTGATCTGTTAACAGCTATTGCACGATGCTGCTCCCTCCCCGCACAGCCATGATCTCGGTAGTCAGCCTTCTGTCACACAGCAGGCAAATCCATTAGCTGCAACTTCCTTATCAACTTACAAGGCTTTCCAGCTATTAAAATATTTGCATATTAAATGTTCATTCCTCAGTTGACTGGTATCAACACTCATTTACATGGGTAATACTGATCAACACTCATTTACAGAGGGTTTGAGAGGAAAAGCAAAATAGTATGTGCAGAAATCTTTTCAAAAAGATTTAAAAAGTTTTGAAAACTTTTCTAGATGGAAGGTTATTAATAATGGGGAAATTGTTATTAATATTGTAAAAGGAAACTGAACATAGAGAACAAGTCATAAGATAACTGAAGATGCACAACACTGTTTCATACCCAAATGACTAAATTCCTCAAACATTCCTTAGACTATTTATAAACACAATTTGTCAATATCAATATAGACATTTCCAAAAACAAAATTCCTTCTACACTGCAGTTTCTAGTTATTTGATTTTTTTTTCCTCAAAATGTTTTTGGAAACAAAAAACAAACAAACAAACAAAAAGAAATTAATTCTCTGCTTTTAAAATCTTCACGATTAATCTGTTATCATTGGTTTCAGCAAGGTATCTGACTTGACAAGAAGATAACATCCTTCTCTGAATGCTGTGGTTCCCAGACTATTATCATTAAAGAAACATTGTTGATGATTGTAAAGAAACACAAGCAGCAGGACACCCTGCTAACTTGCAGCTGGCAAACCTTGCAGGACTTTGTGTTGTTGCACTTCTGCTTATCATATACATGAATCCTAATCAATTATATATATAGCTTATGGAACATGGCCCATGTGTAGCACCATTGCTGGGAATACAACATATTGACTGTTAATAATAAGGGTTAACACAAGGATGATGATCTTGCAGATTAGTGCCAGGATTCAATAGTTTCTATGTGGGTGAAATGTTAATCAGATTTCTACAGCAAATGCTGCTATTCTTTAAAGTCTAGCTTAGTGTTCACACAAGGATACAGTAATTAATTGTACAATATCTAAGGTTTTGTTAAGTCAATCATTACCTCTAAGACTAATTTTTTTTTTCTAGGTAAGCTTTATACCAGACGTTTCACAGTACTTCTGTTAAAAACACTTTTCAGAAATGTAATTGACAATTTACATTTAACACCGTTCATTTAACATAAAAAATTATTTGCATTAAATGTATAATTTATTATACATTTCAACATGTCTTTATCACCTTTGTTTAGGCAACTCTTATTTACTTTACCAGACATTTACAAACAGCAAAGGCGGTTCAGAACATTATACTGACTGGTGCATATGGGGCAACATTTAAACCATGAGCACTGCCCCAGATATTAAAATCAAACAAACAAAACCTAAGAACAAGCTAGCGGACAACAATTTATTATATTCTGGCAACACTAAGAGTGTATAATGCACTATAAACATAGAGCCTCACCAACAGCAACACTAACGCACGGTAGCACTCTGTGTGGAAGAGTTAATGCTAGTGTGTACCGAATTCATGAAAAAAATATTTACTAAAGGCATTGACTTTAAAGAATTCAGAAGCCCAACTCAGGTACTGTTGTGGTAAATGGGACTTTTTTTTTTTTAATACTGAAATCAGAAAATCCCACTCTATATTAATTAAGCAGTAAATTGAGGCTGGAAAACCAACTAACGAATGGTACCAAAACACGAAACAGGAAGTCACGAGTGTTGCCTGTCCCATGGTAACTAGGCAGCACCACTTGAAACGGTTAGCTTGCTCTCCCAAGGATCTGCCATGGGTAAACTGAACCTTCAGAAAAAAATGACCTTATGTTGGTAAGAGTAAGAAAAACATGAGAGCCATTTTTCTTAGAACACATATCTTTTTAAATCTATAGAGAACCTATGGTCCCAAGTATGAGGAAAGCTCTGTTGGTATTTATTGATATATATGATATGGTCAATGCAGTTTTTGCATTAATACAGTTGTATGAGCTAAAGTATAATTTGTTAGAATAAAAGAAAAATGCAATAAAATAAAAATCTTCCCAGGCAGTCTTACTGATTGAAACAGTAAATTACATTGTTATACTCACTCTCACAGTACTACATATCTCGAAACAGTACACATTGTTAAGTCTATATTTTACCTACACACACACACACACACACACATACAGAGTGTATATATATACTGCTTCTCCTGAAGCCCAGAAGTGTCTCAGCTATTTCCCTGCTCTTCACAAAGCAGCGGCCCCCAGTAACTTACACGATATTTGCCAGAATTCTCCAAAAGCACCATCCCTTGCTAACTGACATGGGACACACTGGAGGAGCATTACCTGCTGGGTAAGGTCTCCTCATCGTTCACCGAGTAATACACACTACCACCTCAAAACCTAAATTGGAAACTGTGTCTTCACCCATGGTCTGTAAGGAATCAAGGCCCTGATGGAAAACTAACAACTGAGAAAGCCTTGATCTAACAAGAACGAACGAACATCTTATTAGTGGTGCACAGGCGCCTCAGTCATTTATCTTCCTCCTTTCAAGATTTCACAAACCTCTACCACAAAAATACCCACAGGCTCAGCTGGCCAAGCATGAGGCTTTGTTCACCTGAACAGGGCTCCCTGCAACTGGCTGTCACCCATTTTTGTTTGCTATGATCTTGTCTGACTCTTGCGTATGTGTGCTGTGCAAGAGACCTCCTAATCCGCAATCACCTGCACGGCAAGCACTTCTATTTGCCCCAGTCTACAGCACACGGTTTTGTGATGCTGCAGGAACAACAGGTTTCAGTCTTCTCAGCAAAACACAGAGCTAGTGTTTGCATTCACTGACAAACAACTTTACAGCCCTCTGGAAGGTAGTTTTTTTCATGTATATGTGAAATCATCCAATGCTGTCTTAAATATAACATCTAATGGTACAATATTACTCAGTAAAAGAACAGACATTTTCACAACAAAATACTTACAAAAAGTAGAAGCAGCAGTGGAGTTATAACGATGCCCTGGAAGAAACAAAAATAGTTGTCTGTTAATCAGGGGAGCAGAGCACTCTTTACTTCCTTATACTCAAATGCATTGAAACACACAAAGCTCATTCAGCATTGTGGAAATTAAGTGACAAAAAGGAGAAATTCAGCTTTGCTCTTCACTATGCAGGTTCTTCACTGATACAAGCATCATTTTATAAACAATACTCATTACATTTTTTAAAACCTCTAGCTTTCCCCATTTTAGGCCTAAGATTCTTTTAAAACATATGATACACAGAAATATAGATTGAAATTTGAAAATATATACATATCTAAACTCTCCCCTCATTGTGCTACATCTATCAAGTCACCTCTCCCTAGGAGGAGATTGGTGATCAAGGCCCATGTTGTCCAGTCCCAGTTCTCCACTGTGCAAAATCCACATCAACTGTGATGAATTAGGTGTTGTGACTGTGTAATGTAAGCTGATACTCCCCAAGGAAAAGAGTTGAGATCTCAAAACTCATTTCACTCGATTAGACTTTGCGTCTCAGTGGTAGAATGCAAGTCTTTCATCTAATTTAATCACACAGGACCACCTCAGCTTTCCACATCCCCCAGGCAGACATAAGCAAAAAGATTTGTTTTGTTCACTGACAAGGAACAGGTTTAAAGCTGATGATTGGAAAAAATATAGGATTTTAAGTTTCATGAGGGTAAATCTTAAAATGAATTGTTTGGGCTGGGAGTTAACATGACATGCATCAGTTTCATAGTTGCAAACAGTAATTCCCCATCATCCTTCCATCAGACTTCAATATTTTATTATTGCTCAATAAAAGTATTCTCACATTTAATGCATACTAATTCACAAAGCTCACCTAGAACTTCTCTAACCCAAGATTATTCTTTAGGCAAAGATTTCTCAGGAATAATTCTTCTTTCAGCTATTCACAAAATTCCCAAAGACAAGACTCCCAAAACTTGTTTACATCCATCTAAAACAACACTTCCTTTTGGATTGGAGTTCAAGTGAAAAATAATCAAACAAAAAAGCAATTGTACCTTGCTTTACATTTAATCTTGAGTAGCACAGCTCTCCTCCATTCCATGGAAGCTAATATTAAGAAAAATCTTCTATGAGCATCTTTGTATTTGCTTTATGTGCTGACCAAGATCACTGGTACAGAGAGCCCACACGGCACAGAGGGCTCCTCCTCAGAGCGCTCTTAAAAGGCAACAAGTAAACATGCCAAACACGAGCAGACCCGCAGAAATGAGGAGGCAACAGTTAACCTGCACAACCAGAAGGTTCTGTGGAATTTTAAAACATATTTTGAAATAAATAATATATGCCATATCTGACTGGCCCACAGCCTAGCTATCCATAATCATTTATCTTTTTGCGAATGTCACATCTTAAATAGATCATAAAGACTGGAAAGAGAAGAAGGTAGAAACATTAAGGATTGCTTCAGGGAATCATTCCCTGTAGAGGGGGAAGCCTAGACCAAAACGTAGGAATGTTTATGAAGAAATATAGGTATTCAAGGATATCAGCTGTGGAGGAGGAAGAAAAAGAAGTTCAGGAAGGGAAGAGGCACTAATTGCTGAATCGACACTTAAGGACAGCATCATCTACAACGTTTAAAAGGGAGAATTGACAGTAAGTCTGTATAAAATGGATGCACACAGATGCTTCACTGGAATGAGCAAATGCCAGCTTTTATGGGATATTACTCAGAGCAAGGTACTCAGAGCAATATGCGATATTACCTGTAACAAGGTACTACTGCAACCCTTTCTGGGTAGGAACAAACAGGAACATTCAAGGGCCAGGAGGTGATTTACTTACTCTAACCTGTATTTTAAGAGAGCTGAGAACAGCAGGAAGACAAGATCCTCCCAGCTGCTGAACACAGCTAGCTTTCCTTTGCATCTGGAAGAACTCGCTGATTTCAGCAGCATTACTGATTTCTTACATGTTTCAATAGCATTTTCATACAACTGTAAAAAAAACAAAAGTGTGAACATGTAAAAAAAAATGTGTTTTATGTGTAAAGCATAAAAAAGGGCATAGGAGAAAAGACAAAAATAGTCCAACTTTTCCTTTTACTTTGCTAATGGATCAGTCGACTTGAGGACGAGTCCCTTGACTTCCTATGTATTTGCTTTGGAAGCTTAGGGATATCAACACAATGGTGTGAGCAACAGTCACTACTAGTTCAAAGCCTATAATGCTATGAAGCAAAACGTTACCTCTGTGACAACACTTCTTCATAATTCTGTAAGCAGACAGGAAAAGGGAATATCCCTGCAGATCACAGATTTCTGACTGTGCTTTTTGAGAGTCTGGCTTTCAAAACATCCATTCAGTAATTTTCTAGAAAGTTTTTCAATTAAATCCGGTGATCTTAATAATTAAGAACCAGTTTCCTATTGTTCCTCCACAGAAAGGATTTAAAGGGCTGAATTTTCCCATTTGCAACACGCATGCAATTCCCCGGGAAGCGAAACAATTACCTGACAGAATAGATGCGATTATATTAAAAAAATAGATGCTGTTGCTGAATCAGAGTAATTTGATGTTAATGCTTTATTTTGATAAGGAGTGCCAAATTGAAAAACCACAGACACTACATTAAAACCAAGAGGTTTTCAGTGCTGTGGTAGCTGTAATGGTTCGTGAGTGTTAGCAAGGAAAGATTTATTAGGGGATGGAATAGCTGTTATCAGATCAACTGATATAGTTGGAAAAGACTTTGGGTACATAAAATCCTACATATGTTATATAAAATGTACATATTATACAGAAACACTGATGTGTTTGTGTGCAAAAGCCCTTCTTTTCAGGTTTCTGTTCCAGATCTGAAGGGTTTTATATGACTGCAGTATATCTGTCTAATAAAAGGTATTGCCTTTCCCTGCAAACAGTGTCTTACTTCAACAGATTTTTTTTTCTGCTGCTGTTAGAAATGAGCTCCTCCGTATGCTCATAAGCACTATGTGAAACATCTCAATTCATACCTACTGAAAGTAATCTATGGAGCAATTTCAGTCTAAAAACATCTGACAAGTTACAGACAACAATTTAGGTTTCAGAAGTAAAATGAAGTAAAAAAAAAAAACTATTTCACTCAGAATAACCAAAACCAGAGAGTTAACAGTTATTCTATACTGTCCAATTGAGATGCTAGCAGATCATAACACAGCATATTCTAACACGTGTAACATGGCTATAATCTCAGACCACTAACAATACAGTCGCTGAAAAGCACAAAGGAAACTAAAAATGAAAATAAAAATGAAGTCCACTGGATAGTAACACCATCAGGGGAAAGGCTACCTGAATTTGACTACTCTTTTCCCTGCCTGGCTTTCCAGGCAAATGCTGCTAAATACACAGTGTATGGAGATAAAGAGATTGTAGATTAGCACTTCTAGCAGAAGCTGAGCATCTGCCCTTGAGAATGCAAGGTCACTGCACAGTTTTAGCATCTCCAAAGTTCGGGAGGAGTGTTAAGCTTTCTGACTGCTGCCCACAATGGAGTCAAAGTTGTAAAGTGGCTGCCTTTTGCTACCAGCAGAAAAACTTTCAAGAAATCCATTTACACCTCTGATGTGAAAGACTGACTGAATATATTTCAATGATTTTAGTGGAAAGGAAAGAAAAAGATCCCGGTCTGACCTGAAACACTGATACAAAATAGGAGTCTGCATAGTCATGTTAGATACCTGAAAACACCTTTTTTCAGTAAGGATCACGAAACATATCTTAAAAGCTTAAATGCACATATGTATGTGTATGTACACATGCATTTTAACAGGAATAATATACTCAGATTCATTTAACTCTTATTTTCTTTGTAAGATGTTAATAAGTTTTCTACATGTTTCACACAACACAGCATTACTTTAGAGTGGATATTAAAAGCTGTTTTCTTGTCCAAGAGAATATGCAGAATCAATACCTGCAATTGGCTGCCAAATTGGTTAGCAAAAGAAAGTAACATAATGGATTTGAATCTATGATGGAAAATCATTAAGAAAGAAATTATGCAAATAGTTAGAACAGGGTGGGCACAGATCCAGAGGGACACATGGCAGGAGAGGAGTAAGGATTACTGTAATGAGGCATGAAATACATGTGAACTTTCCTTGGTTTCCTTTATCCATATATTTCTCGAGCAATTTTTCTTCATTCTTACAGGTCATCGGAACAACACATATGTGGCAATCACCAGCAGAAAAACTCTTAACCGAAGTAGCCTCTGATTTGTCTCAAGAAGCAGGATTTGAAAGAAAAAGTTTCTGTAATCAAGGCAATGAACCAACGCACATTTTCTCAAATCAATTATCTGCTCCCATGCATAGAGCTAAGGATGTGTTTGACACTTCATTGGAGCAGGACACAAAAGGAGCAAAAGTTTAACCAAAAAAAAAGGTTACTTACAGAATTATCTGGTCAGTACTTCCATTAGCACTGATAGGCTAACATGTGAGGAAAATAGCTAAAAATCCCTGATAATTTCATTAGAGGGCAAACTTGAATGGGAACTGAAATTCAATCTTCATCTGTTTATACCAGCATTTCTCAAAATGCTTTTATTACAAGAGTCATCGACTGTTTGAGTAAGGAAAAAAAAAAACACCACCAACAACAGAGACCAAACAACAAACCACAACCAATTCTTTGGAAAATATTTCAATGTATCAGAATGTGGACCAAGTTACTGCAGAAACCTATTCAGAAAAAAAAAAAAAAAAAAACTGTTTCTGAGTTCTCACAGCTTTTAGTATTTGTGTAGGCATGGCTATAAAAGGTATGCTGTCTGTTGTTCCTACTTAAAGACAACACTGGGAAGGACAGATTTTAAGATGCTTAACTCCCTCTCTTACTTTCTGCACTAACATATGGATTTTGCCCCACTTTCATACTGCATGTCCATGGAAATGACATAAATGTAAGTTTTATCAGTTGCAATTTCAGATTAAGTTAGCACTGCTCTTTCTGACGTCTTCTTTATTTCAGT